TGGGGAGCACGGCATAGGGAATGCAGTCAGCATTAGTATGATGGCTAAGTAGAGGGTCAGGGGAGGGAGGGAGCAATTGGGGGGATCGTTTTACGAACTACATAGATGTCTAACCGATGTACTGTATACTTGAAACTAATTAAAATAAATAGATTTAAAAAAAGTCAAAGGAAGTATACAAACAAGGGTTTCTCTGGTGCTGGGTCTTTGGGTGAACTCAACATTTTTCCTTCCTTTCTATATTTTCATGGGCATCCGTCTCTATTATTGTACTTTAATAATGGGAAAAAAATTATCCAAAGTCAGCTTTCAGATTCAGAGGGTCTTGTAGCTTTTTCTGTTTGTTCCTGCCAATAATCATTCACTGATTTGAAAATCCTCTGGCACTTGGTCAAACTTATTGGCTGATTTAAAACAAAATGGACAAACCACCTCAAATATGCTTTGCTTGAGATTCACTTGTGCCTTTAAAGTTCGTTGCTGACTTTGGCAACCCGAATTCCAATTGTATTTTCAACACCGCACCTTCTCACCTGATTGCTTTTGGAAAGTGAGTTGTCAGCCACAGTGAAGTATAACGAACCCGTTTTAAACCCAGTCTTTTTAAAAAAGGACTTTGCTGAGCTTAGTCATTCTCAACTCCGGCTGCACATTAGAATCACTGCTTAGCTTTTTAGACCGATTCCTGCCCAGACCTGACCCTGGCAAGTTTTCAAAGCTCTCCAGGAGATTCTACTGTACAACCAGGATTGGAAACCCCAAGCTTAGATCCCATTTTATTTTCTGCATCTTTGGTAATACGGTGAGAAGGGTCTTCAGGATAAGTTACGGAAATATTACATTCTGAAAGCAGTTAATAGAGTTTGTTGATAAAAGGAACAACTTGTCTCTTATAAAATGGAAAAATATAAAAAAGCCTTGAACATAGTACCTTGTAAACATTTCTGTATCTCACAGGCTTGTTTCTGGCACGGATCCTTCCGCAGCATTCCAGAAAACTAAAATAAGAAAAACGATTTTTATTTTGTCTTTTATCCATAACAACTTTAAAGCCCCTCTAGAAGGAATTCTCTTCAGAGGCAAGCAGTATGCCCTTCCAACAGCTAGAAGACAATTACACTAAAAAATACTCTGCCCATTCGTAGGATGAATCAACTGTATTTTTATAATGTCCATTTCATTTGCTTTGGAAGATATAAATAGCTTTACATGGAACAAAAAACCCTTGAATTCAATCAACTCGTCTCGAATACTGTAAACCAATACTGGGCTAGAGGAGCCGACGCCGCAGCCTGAAGGGCCTGCCCACTGCCCCGCTGTCATTCACAAAACCACCCTCGGTAAATGATTAAACTCCTTGAGCCTTTTTCCTTATTATTTGTGTATACAATGGGGATCATACCTACCTCACAGCATTGATGGAAGGATTAAATGTGATAAAGTGCATAGAATAGTGCCTGGAAGGCAGGAAGGCCTCGCTACACGGTAGCTATTATTCCCAAGATTTTTAAAAAGTACAACTAAGGTTCTTAATGGATATAAACTGTTATAACTCTTTTAACTCAGGGAATTCTTTATCAGGTAGTAAATGCTTTCCTAGGAAAATCAGCGATACTCGCTGCTATTACTTCCTGAGAAAGGTGCTCTTCAAGCAGCTAAGATGTTTTCCGGAGCTCGTACAGAAACCGACTTATTCAAAATATCTGTGACCAGAGAATAAATTTAAGTGCCCATGAATTTGATCAGCAACTTCCAATAATTTGAAGACACAATTTCAGAAAGGAAAAAGGCCCAGGAGCCTTTGTAGCTAATTTCATTAATGCAAATAACCTCCTTTTTTTTTTTTTCTTTTCCTTTTTTCCAGAGCCCCCTACGTTCTCAGTAGATCCAAGCTAGGTCAGTACTGGGATGGGAAACACTGGAGCAAAACCTAGGATATTTACAGGGTGGGAGGAGGGAAGGCAGGAGGACTGCTGCAGGGCAAATAAGCGACCAATAGATGTTGATGCTGCTAGGAGCTGCTCTCTTCTCTCTAAATCAGTACCAAGTCCTTGGTGATCAGAGCATGTGTTCTGTAGCAGGTGCTGACTTTTGTGGGATTCATCAGATCCCAGTTCCAGCTGATGATGTCCATTAAAGGTTCTACGGCAATTTCCAAAGGAGTCAATTTCAAGTTACGTATCCTGACTAAGTGCTTTTGTTGACTCGCTTTCTGCCTGCGTAACCCTCTCTCTGCAGTTCCACTCGCGGTGTTCTTCATGACCCTTCCTAAACTTCTGTGTTCTTGAGCAGTTTTTCAACCCACTCCCTCCCCTAGGCCCACACGTGGGTGCACTGCGGTGGTGGATGAAGTGATTGCCATGTACTGAACAGAACAGAGGAGCATGTCTTCCTAGAATTCCAGCACCTGGAAAAAAAATGGATCATTAAAATCACCACGACCGAACAGCGTGCAAAAAAAGAGGGGACACAGGGGAGAAACGAACATACGTACCAGGTTAATCATCAGGCAAAAGCTTAAGCAACAGCTCCTGGACTCCCCTGACCTGTCAGAAAAAGAAAAGTTTATAGAGCACTCTGCTGTAAGAGTCCCCATCCAATGGAAAATGATCAAGCGACATGTGTACCATTAAATGATGCTGGATCTGCCACAAGCGAGAGTTGTTATCCATGTAGCGCTCCTCAGGGTAGAGTTGCCACATGAGAGGTAGCTGGGAGGTAAGAAGGTGACTTGGCCTAGCTGCGTCACCTAAGGGAACCTGAACTTGCTGGACTCGTGCCCTTAGGAAACTCGTCTCCTGATGGAAAGAAGTGATCAAAAATAAAATCAAAGACTTCAGGAAATCGAGCCTAGTCAGAAACCAAGTTGCTTGAAAGCAAAATCAATAAAGAAATAAGCAAAGTATAAACAGTTACCTCTTCCACGACGGCCACCCACGTGCGCTGGTACTCGTCGCGGTAGACACCCTCTTGGTGAACCCAGAGGTGATCGGGTGGCGCCCCCACATCCTCTCCTGACATTCTGGGCCTTGAGTTCCAATTCTAGCCCTGCTTTTCTCCACCTAAGCCTGCAGCACCCGCGCACAGGACACAGGTGTGACTTTTGCGGTTTGAATGAACTCACCAGTGAGCAAGGGGACCTGGTACTAGCAACCACCAACCAGAACCACACCTCACATATGTCTACCTGCACAGCCTAAACGGAGCCGAGGACATCTGGAGCGCCCTGCAAGACACTGGAGTGACACTCAGGCAGAGCCTCGGGGCCACTACGGAGCACTCGGGAATCGGGGGAGGTCAGGAGTTCCGTGGACATGCGGGACTAGCACTGCACGAAGCTGGGCGGTGGTCGCAAGTCTGCGTTCACGCAGCAGTGCCTGACCAAACGTCCTGAGCAAGAGAATGTGCACACGGGTGTGCCTGAGGGCACACTTCTTTGGGCAGGACCGGCAGTGGAGCAGACACGTGTATGCCACATCCCCCGAGGAAAACTCCCTGCCAAGCGCTTTCCACTTCAAAGGTAAGACTGTGAAGGTCTGATCACGTGCATGGCTTTCTAAATTGAAAGTAAAAGTTGTTTTAAGAGCGAACGACCTATTTGTCAGTTTACTTAGAAAGGTGACTTATAGCAGCTGGGCATTTCCAGAAGGGGGGTTTCACGTTAGGGAAAAGATGAAAGGGAGCTTCATGGAGTTTTTGAGCTGCAGCAGACTTTGGGGATTATGGTGATTCGGAGCTGAGTGGGAGGAAGTGGAAGCTATCCACCTAGGTTCTTGTTTCATTGTGATAACGCCTCGGGATGTTACAGGAGCCCAGTTTTCCGTAGAAGTGTGGGCTTAAATTCTGCTCTCCCAAGTCAGAAGGCCAGAAAAGTCCCTCTGCCCTCTGAGAGGGGTAGAAGAAGCCCACCTCCCGGGCAGACTCGGCTCTAACCCCATGAGGGTCCTCTGTCCAGCTCCGGGTCTCATTTTGGGGCCTCACCACATCTTGACCTGCGTTTTGCAGGAATGAATCCTTTGGACCTGGCTCACAGTGCCACAGCATTGGGGGACCGGCCACACAAAACAAAGGCCTCCTATTCCCATCAGGTGGGAAAGGAACCGCAGCAGAGGATGGGAAGGTATTCCCCTCGAGCCAGACCGTCAAGAGCAAGTGAGCTGCCAGGACCCGGCGTGATGCAGCCCAGGACGAAGTTCGCCACAAAGCGCTAACCGAGCTGAACCAAGCCTCCTTTTCAAGGACGACAATCTGAGTCTGATTTGTTTTCGTTAATACTATTAATTGACCTTCCCTGAAAGGAAAGTACAAAATATCTTTTATAGACGTAAGAAATGGTCTGATTTTAGTGAATAATTTAAGAATATCATAGTGGCTTCGCCCACTGTACCCTGAACGGACCTGACTCTGAGCCATCGTAAGGTCCCGTCGTACAGGGCTCTCTCACTTCATTCACCTGAAGGGCCACCCCTTCTCCTTAACCAAATCTCGGTTTCTCTCAATGGCAGTGCCACCCCGCCTGATCCTGCAGACTCAAAACTTATGAGTTATCTTGGACTTCATCGTCTTCAGTTGCTATATCCTATCTGTCACCAATTCCAAGGCGCACCACCCCCGCTGTATTTGAGATAAACTTTCCCCCCAATACTAGGCTCATTTCTAGCCCCACACCTTCGATCTTGCTTTCCATTTGCCTACACCACCTCCCCAGGCCTCTGTCCATGTCAGAACTATTCCGGCAGAGTGCAGGTGCCTGCCTTCTTCATGAGAACGTCATGCCTCCCGTAATTACTGCAGCACTGGATTAAACTAAAGCTCCTATTCTGGCCTCCGATTATAAATCGCCTTGCATGTTTGCTCCGCTT